ACTCTATGGTGCGTATCGCCCCAAAATCACCATTCACACCGAAATCCTTTGTGGAGTGGATTGCCCATAGACTCGCGAGGATGGAGGAGGAACGTAGCCGTATTCTCAAACAAGCTAAGACAAAACGGACGTCCGACAAAGGGAGTACGGAGAAAGTCTTCGTGAAGCCGGTATTTGGAGGAAAGGAACTATCCGATGGACTGGCCTTAGTCCTCTTAAGAGAGACAATTTGGGTGCCCCTGGGCCAATATCCCGCCACACATAACATTGCACCTTGGCCCAGCCACGAGGAGCTCAAGCACGAGGGTGACGACAGGAACAAATCCGGATACTCCCGATTTCCTCCATTGCCACGCGGGCCCGGGAATGAAACCGTCAACTGGAAGCAACGGCCGCCACTACCGCAATGTGCCTTCGACGAAGTCGGCCGACCAAGGCCAGGAGTAGGGAGTGACAAGACTCACTATCCCAAAAACGACATGGTTGAATGGATTGGTCACGCTCTACTGGCGGAGCTTGACATGTAAAATTGACCACGACATTACACCGGGGAAAAGGACAAAAGGAGAGAGGGTAGGAAAAGGTAAGGAGAGCCTTTTATCGACAAAAAACATACACCTTGCCTAAATGACGAACATACTTCCCCTGCGGCACTAGCTTGTCGTTAATATTGAAAGAGGACGTAGGATTGGCAAGGCAGACGGTGATGCATTCTCTGGGACGGGCATTTTTGGGCTGGAATTGACGTTTAATGGCTGCATTTCTTTTTTTCTTTTGGGTTTTGGTTGATGGCACGAGTCTAGGACCGTGTTTGTCTGAGTATTTTCAGAAGGGAGTTGGAGGAGATTTGTATGGGGCAATTCAGTGAGAGTTATCGTTAAGATTTATGTGGTTTGAATAACAAACATACTCTGTACCCACTGTGATCCCTGAAAAATCTATTTGGGAGGGTGAACATGCTCTTTGTTGGTCATTTATCTAGAAGATATTCCCATTTTAGCCAAACTTCGTTTATCATTTTATCGTCACCTCGAATCCGGAAAAGTTGGACAATTTTGGGATTATCACACTTGAGATTTCTTTGCTTAAAAACTGCAGATTGGTGTCCGGCACTATTCACTCTTGTGGGTGACCCTTGCTTTGCTCATGTGGGTTATTCAGTCAAGGTTTGCGTACCAAAAATATTTTGATGGGAATGATATGAGCCGAAAACACCAAACGGGCGAGACCCATATATAATGGTCCAATCAGTTTGGTCTGGATGGACTGCATGCAGATTCAAGTTCCTTCAGGCCCCTGATCGTTTCCTCCACAGCGTTGGTAGCGGCGCCAGCGGGCTTGTTGAATTTTCCGTAACGCAGTTCACTTAATTCCCCGACAGTAGAAGTGAGCTCCACGAAGATGCGCTGAGATTCCGCATCAGCGGCTTCAATTTCCCTTTCCATCGAAGCGCGAGCAATTTCCATCTCTGGCAGGAGGGACGACAAGGTGTGCATATCGTCGGCGGAAATGGCTGGCTCCTTTTGGCCGAAAAGCTGGATGGCTATGCCCATTTCTAGTTTGTCATTTTTGTCCAGTCCGCTTACTCCGGTTGCTTGTTTTGCGATTCTGAGCTCTTCTCTTTGCCTCTCACCCTTCTTTAGCTCCCTGTCGATATTCTCCCGTACGAGATCCAGATCCTGAGCGCGAATATGTTGCAGCTCACGATACAAGACCCTGATCTGCGGATGGGATCGGAGACGCCTTGGAAACAATTCTGTAAATTTTTCCAGAGAGATAATAGTAGGTAGTGGTGACGGGGAGAGCAAGAAATTTGTCAGAATTGACTCCTCTGAAGGGGGCATTATAAATGTGTCCGACAGGATTGGATTAATTACAAAGATACAATAATAGCTCGTGGACAAAGGTTCAACAGAATCAACTTTTCCTTCCAATGCGTCTTAGAAGGGAAATTGTCAAGCCAGGCTGGTTAATTTTTGCACGCACGCCAGACGCAAGCCACGAGCCACGACGTGTCTTCACGGCACATATGCAATGGCAACGGCAAGCAAATAATTCTCAATAAACAGACACAAGATGGAATTATATATCAAAGTCAGAGAGCTCAGACAGGCTTGGAGCAGTGATAATGGGTGGCTCAAAAGCTGGAAGACGCATTTGATGTTTGTCGTTGTTTGTTCGTTTGCTAAAAAGTGGAACTAGTTACTACGGTTTGGGACATAATATCTTAGTCATCCTAGCGACGCGTTTTAAGGTAAAAAAAATACGCCGTGTGTAATTTACAATACGGACAATACCGTCGCGTGACCGTGTAAAGAGCCTCCCAGTTGTTTTCCAGGGGGCGAGTGTCCCGGGAGTCCAGTCAGGCAGTTCGGTTCTCTCTCGCCAACTTCCGTTCAATATCTCTGATATCTGAACTGAACATCTGCGGTTGGACAAAACACGCAGGACAATCTTGGACATTCTACACTCGATTCTTGATTTGGGTTCATTAAGAACGACGTTTCCTCTCCTCCCGTGTAACTGTTCATATGAGGATTTGGAAATTGCTCTTTTAAAGCGAGGTCACTCTGCTGTGTTTCCTTGGACCAGTTGGCCACGCATTTTTCCAACGTCGTGGAATCCGTCTGATTGGTTTGATTGATTATTTTCTACCTTTTTTTTTTTTTTTTTTTTTTTTTTTTTTTTTGTTGTTGTTGTTGTGTCTGCTTCGTTATTTGCAATATCCTTGTTCTATCACTTGCTCTTTGCGACATTGTTCGTTTTGCTCTCGCCTTGTTTTTGAGGTTCAATTTGAAGTTCAAATCTGCTGTTGGCTTTTAAAAGCCTTTCATCCCGGATCCTTCCATCCGTCATTACGCCCTAAATACCAGGGCAGCAAGAAGGTCTTTAAAAGGGCTCAAGTGCCTGTGACCCAGGACGGGACATCTCTTTCGGTGTCCAACTACAATCAATGGCTCCAGCAAACCACCCAGTCTATCATAAAGATGAGAAGGTCTTCTGCTTTCATCATGAAATTCTATACGAGGCAAAGATTCTTGAGGTCAGGTTGACCGATCCAGAGGACAGAAGGAGCCCCCACGAGTATCGGGTTCACTACAAGGGCTGGAAGAATACGTATGTGCCCTGTCCAAGTTTTGTTTCATTCGAAATTTTTGTTTTTGGTTGTGTTGTGGTCTTGTGTGGTTCCCGATGCATAGCTGACGAAAATGCAATAGATGGGATGACTGGGTTCTACAAGATCGTCTACGCAAGGCAACTGAAGAGAATAAGGAGCTTGCAGCCACGCTCCGTCGTGATGTAGAAGCGGCTCTTCGTCAACGGGCCAAGCAGACATCAGCGAAGAAACGAATTAGCTCTGACGCAAACTCTAATCGAAATAGTGAAGAGACACAGTCCTCTGCCCCTGCCAGAGGTACCAAGCGATCACGAGATGCGGAAATTGAAAAGGTATGAAGAAAAGAGAAGATTTCTATTTATGTTGTAGAGCCTGTTGTGTTTCTGTTTGGGCTTGGGAATCAATAGTTTGCCTTGAAAGCGGTCGTATCGTCGATTTGTGTGACGTCTTAGCTTACGATTTGCCACAGGAGGAACAATTTAATGCACGCCCATCCATCAGGATAGTGATGCCTGATAACCTCAAAGCACTTCTTGTAGATGACTGGGAGAATGTCACCAAGAACTTGCAACTGGTACCACTTCCTGCAAAAATGCCTGTCAACAAGATCCTCGCCACCTATTTCGAGGAAGAAAAGGCCAAACGAACTACCTCGGCAGAAGTGGATGTACTCGAGGAAGTTTTGGCCGGCGTCAGAGAATACTTTGACAAATGCTTAGGTCGCTTGCTGCTATATCGTTTTGAACGAGAGCAATATCTCGTCCTGCGGAAGAAATGGGAATCAGGAGCCGAAGGATACGTCGATAAGGGACCATGCGATATATATGGGGCAGAGCACTTAGCAAGATTATTCGGTAAGATATAATTCTCCTCCAGTTTCCCTCATCAACTGTCTGTGTCCAGTTTGCATTTTTGATCGCATTATATCCCTCTATGTAGTGCTAACACCTTTGTTCCACAGCCTCACTACCAGAATTACTTGCCCAGACTAATCTTAGCCAACAGTCCACTAACCGTCTGCGCGAAGAACTCTCCAAGTTGGCAATATGGATGAGTAGGAACTCTGAAAAGTTATTTGCAATTAAGTATAAGAGCCCCGACAACGAATATATTGATAAGGTAAAATGCATATCGAACCCGGATCGGCCCGGAACCGCAACCTCCCACCTATTTTAATACAGTTTCATTCAAGATTTGGACCGTAGATAGATGTTTATCAAAATAACCTCAGTGAGGTTTCTGGGAGATGTTTTCTTCTCTTTCAAGTCATTATACGGGATGGATGTTGAGTGCAACTCAATCTTGCCTTCTGATTGAAGTTGGATCTCACTCAATTTGCCACCACACACATCAATCAACACTTGACTGTGGTGATACCACAGGATAGTCCGTACTCTTTTGAGATTCATATACTCTTTATTTCTTTCTTGTTTTATTTTATATATTAATTTTCAGTCATTGCCTTTCTTTTGGTGGTCATGTTGGAACCTTGGTCCCTATGTAAGCTAATCATTCATTTCAAGACTAAGAATTGAAAGCTAAGCTGTTTCTTTTCTTTCTCTTTTTTAGAGGCTTCCAAATATTTTTTTTTCTTTTCTCAATTTATACCCGCAGATGAATGAATGAATGCTCATTTATGACAACAAATTTCCTATGCAGCAATCCCGAAGAAGAAAAGAAAAACGGCCGACAGGACATCTACAGCTGGCCATACGCCGCCTACCATATACCAGACTACCATAGTTTCTGGAAATAAAAATGACAAGAATGAAGAGAAGCAAAAAATTTCTGAAACATCTATAATTACAACCTCAACCACACCGAAATCGCATCACACCAGTAAACGTTCTGAGCAAACCCAACCAATCTCCCCCCCCCCATTTTACTTACTACTGCTCAGACTCGTATCGACTAGCACCGGCGCCTGTCCCGCCTTCGACATCACAACGACTCTCGCATCCTCAACCGCGCAGCGTGCAATGCGCTTCAACTCCGACTTCCAATCCGACTCCCGCCATTTCTCCCAAAGGTTCAACCCTTCCTGAGACCGGATGCTCAATGTGTCATACCCCTGCTTGATAATCTGATGCACTTCACGAGGACTCAGGTTTTTCTTCTTGCCCATGGTTAGGATTTCGGCGGCAGCGTTGGTGGTAGTGGCAGGTATCGCCGTTGTCGGTGCGGGTGTTGTTTTCTTGTCCGTGTCGTCAAGGAAGAGAAGGGAGTGGAAGTGGGAAGCTACGCTGATGAGGGTATCGATGGAGAGGGCGGCGGAGCTGGGGGGGGAAGTGGGGACGGGGGGAACTTTTGCTCCTGTTGTTTTTGGTGGGGTTGACGTTGGTGCTGATGGGGAGAAGGAGGGTTTATATATCTCCTTGAAACGGGTGAGAATGGGACCCGTCTCGACGACTTTGTAGAAGAGATCATCGTAGGAGGCTGGGTCTGGGAGGAAAGTGTCACCAGCGGAAATACAGAATACGATTAAGTCGGCGAGGGAGGCGGCAAGGTTGTGGGTTTGGGGGTTTGAAAGGAGATCTGCGGAGTAGGTTGCTAGGAAGCGGGTGAGGGTTGCGAGGGTCCGCCAGAGCTCGGACCAGTGGTAAGTGACGCGCGTTTTGTTTGAGGAGACGTATGTTAGGAGGCGGAGGAGGATGGAGATGGTGTGGCTGTTTCCCGATGGGTTAGTATATTTTTCGATCATTCACGGGGCCTAAAAGTGGAAGAAATGAGTAGATTTGGGGTAATACCAATATAGGTTGACGTCAAGCCCCCTGCGGAGATTGTGGTTAATAGTATCAATCATAATATCGAATATGACAGTTGCAAGGATTCTGTCCCCCTGAATCAGGGGCAGATATGGTGCACGTTGGCGACAGAGTCGCACAGGGCGTTTCATCTCATCGCTGCAAATCTGTTTGCACAGAAAAGGGTCTTCTACAAGAATGCGTAGGGAGAAAAGGTTGGTCTCCGCATAAAGAGCAACTCTGGTTGATCGATAGGCATGCTGAAGTAGATATGATGAAAGCGAGAGAAAGCTAGAAAATGGCGACTCTTCAGAGTGCTTTTCGGGCATGGACGAGACGAAGCTGAAGCCAAATATTTTATTTGCGTTGACAAAATCATAAATAGCCAATAGTATGGACGCTTCTGGGGCGGGTCTTTTCTTTCGCTGTTAGAAACCGCTGTTCTCCAAGGCTCGTATCGAGTAAAGAACCAACTTACAAAGCTCCAAATCGTGCTTTAGTTTCTTCTGGCGTTAATGGCTGTGCCCTAGCCCTACGACCGGGCGCCAAAATCCCAAGCCCGAAAAAGGCCAAGGTTGAACTCAAGTTCCAACCTTCTGGGAGATCGTCCCGGACTGCAACATAGCCGTTCCGCAGAGCAATGCATGTTGCACCCGCCCCGTTGACTATTTTCTGAATAGTAGATTCGTTCACAAAATCATCAAGTCGTAGTTGGTAAAGGTTTTGGAACTCAAACTTGTTATAGTTTGATAAAAGACCCAAGAGGACAAATGGCTCAAAAACTAGGGTGCGAGAGTCCGAATCATGAATAAACTGAATTATAGTCAGCATATATGCTGTCTTGGTGGCAACATTAATATTTAGATTCGCGTCGAACCTTCATCAGGACAGGGAAAATATCCCGATGCATAAAATACGAGATGAGACTCGTTTTATAACCTCCGCTGGTCATTGATATTGCGGCTTCAATAGCCTTCATACGGATCTCAACTGTTCATGATAAAATTAGCCATTTTCTAAAATGTATCACAACATTTGTCTGGAATACTATACTGCTAGTTCCATTCCGTATGATACCATCCAGTGCAGTAACAAAGTCCGTGATAACATGGTCGACTTCATCGATGCCAGCAAGAACAGTGATGATATCAGAACTCGGGTTGGTGTACTTCTTAGTTAAGATGACCCCGAAGAAAGTTGTCAAGGTCTATTCGAAACACTCAGTAAGTCCTTTTTGGGCGGGACGTGGAGAATACAGTTGTGCTAACCTCTAAAGCATGCAGGTTTGAAGGATGTTTGTCAGAGGCTGCTTCTCTTATGGCTCTGGTGAATAGCTGTCGGGTGTGAAGCTGGGAGTTACGTTAGTCGAACCCGAAACATGTACGTGTACATATATATATATACATGTTGATTAGCGCATACATAAATCTGTAAGATACCATCAGGGCTGATGCCGTCTAGGATATCGCTTAAGCGTTGCCTCTCTGGGGTAAGAAGAAAGAATTCCCTCCAAAAGCCTTCAGATGGTTCTATGAATTCGGGGTTCTAGAGGCAGTCAGAAGAAGGCTTCTTGGGGCTCCTTAAACTACTCACAGTAAATTTGGAAATTTACACGGGAAGTGAACATACAAGAAACAGAGTCTCGTAAAGTTTGACGATCTTAGGCTGAAAGGTGTCAGGTCTTGACTGCTGGGTTAAGGGAGAGGCTTCCATGATGTTGTGGAAGACGGGGCTATCTAAAACGCCTAGATGGAAACGTCAAACACTATGCTAACAGCTTACAGCTAACATTCTCTTCATCCACGTTTGACGGTTAGTTGCGTGACCATATTTCGTTTGTCACTCAATAGCCGCCGATTTGTCAGCCGTAGCCGCGCAATAGCGCCACTTCAGCCAATGATATCTGACTCCCCAGAAGCAGAAAACAAATCGAGAGAAACCTGGGAAGAACAGAGTCAAACCACGCACTCCATACTAAAAGACACATATCTATATATCTCCACTCCAACCGCCGCAACCTTGGAAGTCACCGAGTCATCTGGACAAATCATACCTACTGCTGTGTAGGTACCCGGGTAGGAGATGCCGATGAGTCATCCCTTCGCCACCCGCAACCATATATAAACCATCCTGTGATTGGATGGGAGGCTGGCTACTCATACAATGGCCACTGCAGCCACCGGGGCAACAGTTAATCCGTGCCGCCCAACATCTCCCACCCACCAGAACTGAGTTGAAACCCGAGGGCTCTGATTGGTCAGTTTAGTGCATTGCCAAGCGGCGTGACTTTCGGGCCGGCCTTTTCCCGAAACCTTTGATGTCACTTCATCTTTACTAATAATGTTGACAAGTTTTTATCCAAAGCTTCGATTTCATGAGATGTTCTCCCGCGTACCAGATCTAGTCCTTGTCTCTTTCCTTAAAATCTCCCGGGATAGATATACATATATATATGTTCATCGGCTCCCCCCTGCGACTTTGTTTTCTCTCTCCCCGCATACGACCATGTCGCTCTGTTCTACGGTTCACCCAACAGTGACATCATCTTGTCTTTTCAAACCACTCACAGCTCAGCTGCCCAGACGGATATGTCCTCTGAGGCTGCGAGCATTCTCTTCGTACGGCTCATCCTGTGACTCATCAAAGCGCAAACTACAGATCGCAACCGCATATCAACCCTACACCCTCCCAGAATCCTTCCCGCCTCCTCGGAACACAGGGGTAACGGGCAGCTCAATCACTGATGGCTATCTCGTGCTCAACGGGAAATGGCAATCAAGACCCGCAGGACAACCCCAGCCGTCAATAACCAATCGATTTGATAAAGAATCAAGCATCGGTGTCCCCAAGTCTGAAGCCCAGAAGTCAACGCCGGTAGCGTCCGCTTCTCCGTCCACTCCTTCAGAAACCGATCAATCCCAGACACCTAGGAAAGCAGCGCGCCGCAGCAGGCTGAAGGCGCGCAAAGCTGCTCTAACCATCACACCAGAAGCGGTCTCGCACCTACGTAAGCTGATAGACCAGCCCGATCCGAAGCTGATTCGAGTCGGAGTGAAGAATAGAGGGTGTTCTGGCCTCTCCTACAATCTCGAATATGTGGATAAGCCTGCGCCGTTTGATGAAGTGGTGGAACAAGATGGAGTTAAGATTTTGGTAGACAGCAAGGCTTTGTTCAGCATCATTGGTTCTGAGATGGATTGGCAGGAAGACAAATTGGCGAGCCGTTTTGTGTTTAAAAATCCTAACATCAGTAAGTTTATACGGTCTTCAAATTCGCAAAGACATAGGGAAGTAAAAGTATCTTTCTAACAATAAACAGAGGACCAATGCGGCTGCGGCGAATCCTTCATGGTGTAATACTATACAGAGTACAGACTTGGGTATTCGGACTTGTTTTATAGGTGCATTAAATGGCGTTGTTTTTGTGAGGTGGATAAACCTCTGGAATTTGGGTTTGGAATCTCCCACCTTGTTCATATCATGATGGTCTTCTTTTTTTTTTTTGCGGTTTAATATTGGCATTCGAATATACCCGTTTCTACACCGATTGCGATGTGTAATAGCTCGTTCTAGAGGAACCAGTCTGAGCAAATATAGGGAAACGAATGACATGCCACGCTGATATGGTGTCGTCAGAAGCCTTTTGCCATTATTGTTACAATTCAGTGTCGGCTTGATAGTTACCATTCGGTATCTGGTTGAATACTGTTGATATTATTGGATGGCAAAACTTGGCATACGACAATCTCTTTTGACGAAAAGGTAACTAACTGTGCATGAGCCCCTGGAATATATAAAATCTTTCAACGTTAGACATGGCCATACTCAGATAAACATACTCTTTGAGGTTTTCCGTTTCGTGACCTCGGCAATTTCCGCAGTAACCCGGACCACGTGACCTAGATGTTGGCATTGTATGAAGTTGGAGATTCGATCTGCATCCATTTAGATTAATCTATCAACAACGAATCGTGAGAGTGATGGTCATATATAACAGAAAGCAGCAACCTTACCTACAAATACACCAGAGACTTGTCAAAAACACATAACCGCTCCTGACAACGATGGAAGACCATACATTCCTCCTACCCACCGACCTCTGTCTCCTCACAATTCGTTTCTCCGCCTCAATACCAGACGTCCTCCTCGAAATCCCTGAACCAGCTCGCCTGACAGCCGCAGGCCTCAAACAACTTATCCGCCAACGTCTCCCTCGGCATCTCTCAACTCACCGCCTCCGCCTCATCTATGCGGGCAAAGCACTGGAAGATTCCTCCTCCCTCGCCTCCGCCCTAAACATCGCCTCACAACCTACAAGATATAAATCACCTGCCCCTCCACGAGATGCAAACTACCTGAATGATAAAGACAAATGCAAGGGTAAAGGTAAAGCTCCTGTCCGCGAACCACCAACACCACCGTTCCGGACATACATACACTGTTCGGTCGGCGATATTATTCTGTCCGCGGCAGAGTTGGAGGCCGAGGCGCGGCTGACGCAAGTAAATCGTGAATCACACGGGCATGGGGAAGGAAAGGGAGAAAACAAATCAGGGTTGGTGGAAGTAGATGTTTCTCTCCTCGGACCTCCAAATTCCCTTTCGCCATTATCATCGTCTACCTCTGCGGCCCCTACTTTACCTGGTACCCTTTCCGCTGCACATGGCCAGAGCAGCGGTAATACCAGCCAGCAACCTCTCACCACCGGACCTAGGGGTTTCGATCGTTTGCTGGAAGCTGGATTCACACCTGCAGAAGTCTCTGCGCTCCGGTCGCAGTTCCTCGCCCTGCAGTCCCTGTCGCATACTCCAGATACGATGCCATCTGGTGCGGAGCTGCGGCGACTGGAGGATATATGGATGGATGAGGGGGGTCCTGTGGGGAGTTCTGAAACGTTAGGTGGGAATGGAGGTCCCGGTGTTGGTGGTGGGATTTCGAATGACGTGGTTGGCGGGAATTCGGGGGCGTTGGATGATATGTTATGGGGCTCTGTGATGGGGTTCTTTTGGCCTGTGGGTTGTGGGTTGTGGTTGTTGAGGGAACAAGGAGTTTGGAGTTGGAGGAAGGGGTTGGCCGTGTTCGTTGGGGTTGTTGTAAATCTTGGGTTTGGGGTTGTGAGGATTTTAAATTAAATGGGGGTGGGAAAGATATCTGGATCTGTTATATATGTATATGACCATGTCTATATGGGCGTTTTTTGCTCCCTTGGTTAAGCTGGAGGCATGGATTTGATAAATGGTAGATACCCACGGTGTTGGATTGTTTGGTTATAATAAAAAAGTCAACTATTAATATATTGCTAATCAGAATGGCTTGTCAGAATCATCTCATCTGATAAACAGGGCTGTAGAAGTGGTAGTTATAAGGTATTGCCGTATCATACAAGATCACAAAAAATAATTAAACACTTCGATAGTAATCGTAATTGCAAGCAAAAGAGCCACAGTTCGCCAAGAACAAACACCACACCCTCCCCCCCCCCGTCCCCCCCCCCCCCCCCCACCCCAAAAAAAAAAAAAAAACCCAAAATATGCTTAGCGGAACTTGCTATATACAACAGCAATGATAAGAAGGACCAACACGATTATTATGGCGATGGTAATCACCCGATTCGTAGCCATCCTATTTTGCTTGATTAACTATGCACGCGACTCTCATTTTGGGGATTGATAAAGGATGTAATACCTACGAGCCATCCCCCGCAGCGTCTTGACGCTCCGATCCACGTAGCCTTCGCTTTCCAGCAAGCCAGCTCTGGTGTGTTCGATAGTCTGGCGCTGGATGTATAGATCGGCCAAGGTATTCCGTCCGATATCCTCCGTCTCCTGTGCTATTCTCTGACTATCCCTCAGGCGAGCAGAACTCCGTTCTAGACGTTCAGTTCCGGATAGGAGTTGCTGTCTCTGCTCTAGATGGTGGTCGTTTACGCCGTTGGGGTCGTCCGTATATCTATCGCCAAATAGAGCTCTGCGGTCATCAGAGAGGGATTTAAGTGTGCGTTTAATGTCGTCGATGTCTGTTACGAAGTTGCGGAAACGGGTATTCACTTTCGAGCGCGCTGCTGAGGGGATATTCTCTTTCTCTATACGCATTTGATCTAGCTATGTTTCATCATGATCATGTGTTAGTGCTCATTTATCATCTGAGCAAGAAGCAGGAAAGCGAGGTCACGGCGACAAAAAGGGAATATGGGTTAAAAAGTTACCAGTTCCATGGCCTCATCCAAAGCTCTCTCCGCTTGTCTGATGGCTGACTTCCTTTCCTCTCCCGTGGCTTCCGCTATCTGATCGAGCTTCTGGTTCAGGTCTGCCTGTACCAATTTCAGCTCGGCTTCGTAGCCACTGAACAGCTCTGAGCCGGCATCTGTATTTAGAGGGCTCGCCATTGCTTATATATATTGGTAAATGACTGCTTAAAGAAGCGGATATTGTAGGAGATGATGGATGGATGTGTTAGATTCGGTCGGTCGGTCCCCGTAGATGTCTTGAAGGACGTCTAGGTGGCTGGGGAACCCTTGGCCTCGCAGCTTGTATATGAAGAGATGAATTCCCAATCCCCCAACCTAATAGCTTCTGCCCCCCAGGAAAATTCGACCGGTCTCTGTTGTGGTATTGAACTTTGGTGGTGGATGTTGTAGTGGAGTTGATAGAGTGATGCTGATGACGATAAGTTTCCGCAAGCCGCAAGAACGGATAGTTAATTGCTGTCTAAAAATACCTTTCTACAGCTAAAATATGCTTGTGTTATTTGTACCCCAAAGTACCGCATTCTATGTCCCACGTGACCAAGTTGTGTCAAGCCACAAATCTTGACATCCGACTTTAGACAACATCCATCTTGCAAGTCGAAGCAGTGATGATTCTCTGGTTTTGAACGGTAGATGATGCCATCCGTCCACAGCGACGTCCTTGCTCTCGTGGAAATTGCATGAGAAATTGGATGAGAAATTGGATGAGAAATTGGCACCCTTTTCTCCACTGATAACCCTACCCTTTTGCAGTCCACTTGGTTCCCTGCAGATCTAATGCCGGGGTAACTCCCTCGCTGTTGATACATACCCTAATAAATTATTCTCGTTCTAAAAACTTCTATCTGCAGTAGGATTTGGCCGTTCTCAAAGGATGCCCCGCTTCACTCTGCATCAATTTTTTACCTGACGTAGAGCAATTACCCTTTTTTAGAGGATCATTACCACTGGCAGGCTGGAGAATCAAGTCACGTTAGGTCGCTCAAGTCAGCGGAACCCTGTCCATGACCGGACGGCGAGTCATGCAAGATACGGTTGGCCTGTTGGCTTGCTAGTCTGATTTTTGGATGATCTATTTCATCTGTTCCTGGTATCTATCCTACATGTCACAATGGCTTCGAAAAAGGTAGCTATTGTGGGCGGTGGATGTTCCGGCCTTGCTGCCTTCTGGGCTCTGAAAGACTCAGGACATGAGGTCCATCTTTTTGAAGCAGCGAGCAGGTTGAGGGGGCTCACTCACGTGGTACAGTATGAGGAGAAAGGATACCAAATCGGGGTCGATTCGGGACTTGCTTGTTTCCAAGCTTCTACTTCACGTGAGTTGCTCCCTATCTGGAGCTTGTCTCAGGAACTCACTCGGGGAGCAGCAAATCTATATGCATTTCTGCGGGAACTTCAGATTCCTTGTCATGACACCGAATTTTCGATCGCCTCGTCCCGACTTGAGGACTCGTTTGAATGGCGAAGCTCATCGCTGTTCGCCATTCTTTCTCGCAACCTGCTGCGGCTGGACATGTGGAGAATGCTGATTGATATTGCGAAATTCAACTATTTTGCGCTGGATTTGCTGAGGAATGAACAGTGCGCCAAAAGGAATAGACCTCGGACACGAAGGAGGGCCAGCAAACCTTCTAGTCGCCCACAGTCGCAAAGGAGCATTGGCACTTTTTTGGCTAACGAGGGATATTCAAATGCCTTCCGTGATAATTACCTTATCCCGCTGATTACCGTACTCTGGAACGTCTATAATCCAAGGGATGCTCTTGAGCTGCCAATTGTGCTCCTTCTACATTTCCTGGCGGACTGCGACCTTCTCCGAAGCTCGTTATTTTGGTCAAAGTGGATGTTTGTAAGGGACCCTCTAAATGAACTCGAGGCAACGATTACTGAATCTGCACCTCCTGAAAGGATTCATCTCAACACCAAAGTAAAATCGATTAACCAAAGCCATAAACCGGGCTGGCTTAAGGTCGAACGTGGAGGGCAAATAGAAGATTTTAACCATGTCATCATAGCCACCTCCGCTCATGAAGCTTTGAGGATGATTTCCGCGAGCGCGACTGATAAGGAGATACAAGTTCTGAGCGAATTTCAATCGGTAAGAACCGTTGGTATCCTCCATTCTGACACTACGGTGAGTTCCTATTCCTAGCTCAAAGTTGCGCTGGTACTTATGATCCCGAGCGAAGCTCATGAACTTTTTCACTTGCCGTTTCAACGTTTCGATAGTCTGTCTAACAGTGTTATTATGCCCGTAGCTCATGCCGAAACGAAAACGTGTCTGGGCTACCTTTAACCACATGACGAAATCCCCAATAAGTTCCTCTGACAACAGCCAATTCTGTACATCCCTTTACATGAATCGACTACAAGGCATTCCAGAAGCCACATATGGTCCAGTGCTAATTACTCTTAATCCAATCTCCCCTCTCCACCCACTCCATGTACAGGGGATATGGGAATACTCCCGCTTCATCTTCAACAATCGAGCACTGGAATCACAGAAAATACTCCTCCAAATCCAAAATACACGTAGAGTGAGTTACTGTGGCCCGTGGACCGGGTATGGTCGTTACGAGGATGCCGTTAGAAGTGCCTTTCAAGTCGCTGTGGATCATCTAGGTGCTGAATTGCCATTCGGGGTCATGGCTGATGACCCGTCTTCGGTTGTAAGCATGAAAGTTCCTGACTTGAAACTAAGAGATATGCCGGTGAGATTTCTTTTGAGGGTGGTGTTGGTTATTTATTGGATCTTGGGCATCGTGAGACGGGTAGTTCTTTATTTCCAGATGGCTTGGCGGAGGATGAGAGAGATGAAAGTCGAGAGGGGAGGGAGATACGGTGTGTGGATGAAGAAGGATGTTTAGTATGAAGTTTGCGATAGGCACAGCCATAGCTTTTCAAGGCGTTATTCGTGCGTTATTGCAGTATTGCCTCTTCAAATTTTATCGCTACTCTGGGCGCTCATGTTGACTGTTTTTGCGTCATACGTATTTCTTGGACTCCTGCAGAAGACACTTCCCTATGATTTAAAAACACCTGACCCCTCCCCGGTTCATCTATGGACTAGAATGAGATCATTGCATACAAACACGGGGCGGAGGAGTAAGTTTCGAAGTATACTTTCTGAAATTATCTCATTTTTTTCATGTATATGTTATTGTTGATTCATTCCCACGATTCGCATCCCTTTTATCCCGCGACGCTTGATTTTTGTAAAAGAATAGAGGTATGGAAAATAATGGCTAACACTGACAAGCACACAAATGACGATCTGACAGGAATAGCTCTGCGGGCAAATGGAATAAATAATAACCATCACAATGCCCAAAGAGGAAAATTCTAGGCAAAGTAGAACCTGTTGGTACAATTAAACCCTCCGAACGTTAAAAGAATAATAGGGCATAGGGTTTTAGTAAAATAAAATAAAATAAAAATAAAAAATCACGAAAGAAACACCTCATCCCCTTTCGACACAATCCCCGCACTCCTCTTCGCATCAATAAACAAATCCTCACACTCCGCAATATCCGCCTCCTCAATTCCGCCTGCCCTCCCATCCACCCGCGCAAGAATACTTGCAGGCGCTAACAACTGCAGCGCATACCGTAAACTCACTTTACTTCCGTGCTCAGCCACTTTCTCCAGCGCGGGCTCGCTGATGGTCAGACCCTCGGTCTTGGCACGCAGGCGCACTATGGTTTTTATCTCTTCGGGGTTATACGGGTGTGTGGGGATTATCAGTAGGCGGGCAAGGAGATCAGGTGGGATGCCATGTGCAGCGACTACGTCGCCTGTACCGCGTACGACGGTGTTACCGCGGTTTGAGGCGAGGATAACGATGGGGGAGATGGAGGATTCGAGGGCACGGTTGAGATAGGTGAAGCATTCTATGTCGAGCATGTGGACCTGGAAATTTTAGCACAACTAGACTTGTCAGTTTTTTATTGGGAGTGAGAAGCGTACTTCATCGATGAATAGAACACCAGGAACAAGCTCAGCAACTCCTTGGTCGATGTATCGGTTGACAACTTTGTTGATCTCCTGGCGCAGTTTGTCTGTGATTTCTGTCTTCTTAGGCTTCATGAGCTGGCCCATCATACTCATCACATCTTGGCCACCTTGCGGTCTCGCGTTGGCGATATCCAAGTCATGAAGCGTGACGTCTTGTACGATCTCTTTCTTCTTGTGGACTTCGCCCTTGGGGATGGGGACGTATTCTTCAGCTTCCAGGTCGAACTCGGTGGCGTATGCATCGGATCGCCCGACGCGTTTGCAAGCGCCTGTGTTGGCTTCAATATATATAACATCTCCAACGGTTACTCTTTCTTTCTGGATCGCTTCGTAGATGCTAGGATCCAAACGTAGCTTCTTTGTTCCTCTGTATGATTTGAGTCCGATAATCAGATGGCTTATCGTTCGTCCGTAGCCCCCCAACGGGTTCTCTGCTTCTTCTGGAGTAAGCTCCGTCACCTCTCCTTCATATACCTCCTTGGTTTCGCGTACTCGTAGTCCTAACAGAGCAAACTTAGTACTAGAACTCAACAGGTAATCTACAATCGGTACGAGGTAAATAAACAATACCAATTGCTCTTCGAAAATTCTCCATTAGCGCTTCTGTCTTCTTAACCTCCGCTGAGAACACCTCGCTACCCACGATGGGACAGAAGGGTACTTTGGTCCCCAATTCTTGAGACACAGCCAGCGCCAAAGCCGTTTTACCAGTTCCTGGGCCACCCGCGAGTAACACTGCTCGCCCCGCCATCTTCTTCGCTTTAATCATATCGACTACAACGCCGCAGGCCTAAACAAAATGCACAGTTGTAAGTTCGGATCTTAGAGCGGCAGAAACAAGGACGGATAGAGGTATAGAAGCGCACCTCTCTTGCAGCAGCCTGTCCAACAAAGCCATTGCCGGTAGATTCAGCAGTGCCATCAGGCCGTAAGCCTAAACCTTTGATATGTGTATGTGCAGCAGTTCTATTCTCCCGCGAGTTTCCTTTGACCTCGCTGATCTGGACCATGGTGGGAGAGAGTCTCTGCTGAGCGCAGACAGCTATCAGTTAATGAATTTCACAGATCAGGTAGAAAGTAAGAGAATTGGACAGTAACAAGATAATGAGATGTCAGTGAATCTTAACGTAAATTAGGTCATTAAGGTCGATATTGAAGCTGTTCAAGTGAGCCGTTGTCGAGCATAGTGTTGCGGTTCTGTGAGAGAGTTGATTGTTGCTTAGCTAAACACCAAATGCCCCAGAATTAGTTTTTCAGTAATCCAAATAAAGCCTAGTGGCATCGGCCTGGGGAAAAGTCACAGCAACACACAGCGACCGGCCAGAAGGACTCGGACCTGGCACTGCAAACAATCCCCACCGCAACCTGCACATCTCCCAGCGATCCCCCTGGACCAGTGTACGGCTTGTGGGGAGGGCAGCCACACCTCCTGTTACTACGAACACTGCAATTCTTCAGCTATAGCACCACATGGTCTGACAATGGCTCTCCACACTGCCAAACACTTCTCTTGCTCCCGCCCTTCCTCCCTCCTCCAGACATTCCGCGGCCTTTCCTTGTACCCCAGACGCTCTCAGTCAAATCAGTCAACTATCTTAGATCCTGACAAATATTTTGAATCTCTTTCCGGAGATCCCCCGGAATATCCTTACGGCCCTTCCCTCTACTTCAAACAAGCAAACAGCGGTCTCTACGGCGGTTCGACAATCCAATTCGGAAACAAAATCTCCAAGGGACGAAATAAGGGAAAGACGAGAAGGACATGGAAACCTAATGTTCGCCACGAGGAGCTCTACAGTGAGGCTTTGGGGACGACGCTGAAACTAAAAGTTACACATCGCGTCCTGAGAACGATTAAGAAAGTGGGCGGCTTGGATCAGTACCTCTTGGGCGATAAGCCCGCCAGAATAAAGGAATTAGGCGTTTTCGGGTGGAAATTGCGGTGGAAAGTCATGCAGTCGAGGGCAATGAGGGAGAAATTTCTGGAGGAACAAAAGGCACTGGGATTAAGGGCGGCTGCCGAATTGGAGCCACAGGCACCGCAGCAAACGCAGGATAAGATACCTGTCTCTACCGAGTAATCTGTGCAATAAGTGGTTGCTTGCTTAGTTTTGTGTGGCGTCATCCAAACTGAAGGGAGGGAGGTGTTTACTTGTATGAAATGCCTTGTTACTTCGAACTACTCTAAACGACAAGGAAATCCATTGGGATGGGAATTATACATACGATTAGCTGGAAGATATATATCCCTTTCCCTGGCTGCCCCAGCCCTTGCTACAAAATGATGGAATATATGTACATTAGACTGTATAATTTTTTGGATGTTATGGCAATCATTCCTTTACCCTTAACCTATTCCACTTCCTTGTGCAGTCTGCGAAGTGTTAAATAATATGAGAAGTTCACATTGCACTTGCAACCTAGAGAAGCATAGCCAGAAGCCCATAGATTTGTGCCTGGTTGATAATGTAGTAGGGTTTTTTCATTCTGTATATATTCAAACCATGAATTGGATATATGACGTGAGACAACATTCAACCAAAGCTCATTTCCCAATGTTGATTATTCTCCAAACCAGGCAATGAAATTGCATCCATGTTTGAGCTGCCAAATACAATCTTACTCAGCTTTAATAACTAAGTTAACTAACTATAACTATCGTAAATTCCACACCGAGCGAGACACCCCAGCGAGCGAGACACCAAAACCACCGTATCCCAACTAACTAGATTTTAACCCGAAATATCTACACCCCCCCCCCCCCCCAATTAAATTAAATTAAATTATACTAGATTGAGGGCATCTTGTTCTCTTATGGCCAGGTAAATTGCAGTTGCTGCACCACTGTGGTGCTCCTGAGTGTGGCCTAGGCCCAGAGACTGCAGGCTCAGAAGGTTGAATGACAGACTGTTCAACAGGTGCAGCAGGTGGAATAATAAGATTCTGAGCTTCCTGCCTAGTGAGACCCCCTGCATGTTCAATCTGATGTCTAGATCTAGTCTGCTTTTGCTTCTCTATCTCATTCACATTGAATATATCCTGGTATTACTTCTTTAGAATAGTGGCACTGATCATTCCATGTTCACAGGCCTTGATAATTTGGTCAAAGTCTTTCACAAAGCCTTGAGGCTGACCTTCCACTAAGTATTTGATCTTATTTGCCTGCTGGTGTAATTGCTGGGGATTACTAGGTGTTTGAAGCACTCAGGACATGGCTGAATTGCTAGAGCTGCTGCATGAGAGGGTAGGGATCCAGAGTTGAATATCCAGCTGCTGGAGAACATAGTCAGGCTGAAAGGGCACTATTCCAGCTGCCTTGAAGCCATTTTGAATAGTCTGAGGTTTGAAGGCTGCAGCACATGCTGCAGGGTAGGCATCTAGGAAATCTGCCTTCTGAATGGCATTAAATCCAAGCCGCATTCGCTGCTGAACTAGATCTTCATACACTCACTTTAAAACTGAAAAAACACCCACATCTAGTGGCTGCAGAAGGTGAGAGGAATGAGGCAGCATGCAAAGGCATATTATAGCATTGTCCTTGCAGATTTGGTCAATTCTGGGGTAAGGTGACTGCCGTGCCTTTCCAGGATAAGAAGGATAGATCTGCCAACTCTGCGAAGATCTGCTGCTGGAATAAACACCTATTGAAGCCATCTCAGACCTATTTCATCAGTAGTCCAGCCATTTGGACTGGCATCTTGCTACTGCGCCTCTATCACTAGCAAGCTTCACCTGTAGCCGAAGGGTAAGGTTAAGCCGAACGAGAGTGCCGTAAGCTTGATAACTAGGACAGGGGGTAGTGCCACTATCACGAGTAGTAAGGACGTCAATTAGAGGATCCTTATAACCAACGATAGCTACGGCTAAGGGGTCAGGTGTGCGTAGGGCTTGGGTGAGACGGGCACCTGAGAGGGTGTAGAGTTAGGTGGTCAAAGCTATGACAAGTATAGGAGCGGGGATGTATCAGATAAACGCAGACACAATGTGGGTAGGATGGAGTAGAGATCGGTAGATGAATGGAGAATATAAAATTGATCGTGATCAAGAAGATAGGCCTCTTGATCCTAGGGGTAATGAGGGTGTTTATATACATGATGGAAACCTCTTGATAGATCTGATAGCCCATGGTATATAGTCATACCAGCCTACCAATCTACCATCCGGTAGACTTGGTAACGTCTGATAGATAGTCATACCAATCTATCAATCTATCAATCACGTGACCATCTCTTTAGGTTAGTCCCGTAACCCAGGGTTATTCCGTCTGAAACCCTAGTTCCTTTATCCTCTGCAATTCTTATCCAATGATCCCTGGAAGTCTCCTGTTGGTTCACAACACATCTAGCCTCCAGCCTTCTGGAAGGCCTTCAAACCAACCTTCCAACAAGCCCTGGCCTTTGAGGATGAGATAGGGAGGTAGAGCCCATCCTGACACGTTGACTGACTCAATTACAGTTACCCATTCACAGTTTCCAGGCTGTAGGAGCTTTGCTCTGCCATAGTACTCAATACTAGTAATGACCTTAATAGTGGCACAGAGACCCATAGCAAAGCCAATCTCATCAAAGTTATATATATCCTCTGGCACAATCTCATGCTCAGCAATTGTATCTCCTAAGGTTTTAAACCAATCCTTTATAACCTACTGATCTTCACACTTAGCCTGGTCATGATTATAGTATCTGGAATAGTAGCTTTGGAGCTCTGTATGATATTTAATCAGTTTTGAAATCCAGTTCTTGCTGACTTGATAGGGGGAGATAGTGGAAGCAGTGGAATTCTATAAGGTAAGAAGATAATTAGCCATATCTTTAACAAATGCCGGCCAAGGGGGGAATTTTTATTTAGCTTAGTCTAGTATTCATTTAACTAGCTTATCCTCTTCAGCAGCAGATAATTTATGAAAGTTTATATGTAAATTCACCTATAAGGGCCAGTGCTTGAGGTGATCTTGAAGAGTAGACCTAGACACATTAAATAGCTTTGCAGCTTCATGAATTGAGAGCTTTTCATCATTTTGAATAGATTTTATTGTGAGTTCAATTCTCTCCTCTTGCTCAACTGAATTTGAAGAGTTTTTCTTACATTTTGATAATATAATTACGTGTTGAATTGAATGAGCAGTTAAATTAGTAGGTGGAGAAATTTGGTAGCTGACTCAATATGAAATTACATTAGTTAACTAAATTAATATAATCAATAAGTGAGTGAACTATATAAGCAAGTGAATCACTTCCCACTCTCTGTACAATGAGAATGTCTTCAAAGCCTCAACTATAAAAAAAAACTAGCAAATTATATTATAAATTATTTTCTATACACTTAGAGCATATACAGGCAGTATGCTCAATAATTCCACAGACACTACACTATAATGCTGCATATTTTTATGATCATGACTCAGCAGTCTCAACTATCCTCTGCTCTTATTCATTAATCCTTCATATATGATTCAAGTCTTCTTCAATTATTAAAGCACTTTATTGAGCTACATATATACAGTCTCTTTCTCATTTTTTTTTTGTTTAGCATTTTGAGCTCTTAACTCCCTGTTTTCAGCTGCTAGAATAATAGCACTGTGTATTATCATTTGACATTCTTTGACTAGCTGACTTATAGCATGATTGATTAGACTAAGTGAGCTCTGCATATGATGCTTGATATATCCTTTAACTTCCTCAGTCTGCTACTCCAATTGATGTATATTATGTAGTGTGACTGTCATCCAGAAGGCCTGGAAGCTGTAAGAGGTTCCTGGGGAGGTGGAAATATGTATTATGATATTAAGCTGTGAGAGAATCTGCTCAGAATTGTACAAAATTAGCTTAGCAGCTTTAAAGCTGCTCTTGATGTTGCTCTCAGTCAGAGCCTGCATCTAAGCTATAAGATAGAGACTTAGAAACTCCTTCTTATTAATATAATTAATCTCAAGTCATATTTGATTTTCTACCTACTGTCTGTATACAGTTTTTAAGAATAAGAAGCAATCAACATCTAATAATTAAAGAAGATAAGAGGAATATGACAGTATGTAGAGGACAATGATCTGATTCTCAATGCAAAATTGATCAAATTCAGCTGAGGTATGACTTCAATGTCAGTCTAGAATTAATAGTTAATATCTGCTCTTTGTACAGTATAGAGTCTTCTTGTTGAACACTTCTTTCAGTCAGTACAAGCTCAGTTGATCAGTGATTCAGCTATTCTCACTGACTTCAATCACCCAGTCATGTGGTAGTCCTTCTGTCTCATATCAGCAGGATTGATGTATCTTTTCTTTGAGGATAATCATTGTATGCAAATCTCAGTCAGTTGTATTAACTTCAACAATAACAATCATCTATTCCTGATCTTCAGGCTGTACAAGATTGAGATTCTCAGCTTTTTCAGATTCAGTTATCATTCTGACAGTTTTAATTATACTTATCTGAAATCCTGTTTTATCAAAGTTATAGATATTATTTTCCAGGATCTCATACTTCACAACAGTATTTTATACAAGCTTAAATCACTCATGAATAATTTCAGAATCCTCATATAGAGCCTGCTGATGATCATACTTGCATGAGAACTTGAATTACAGCTCATCATGATGTTTGACAAAGTTTTGTACTCAGCATTCACTCACTATAGATGAGGAATTAGATTCTCAATTGACAAAAAGGAGATTGACCATTTCTCATACAACTGCAACTCAGGGAGGCTGATCTCACTCATTCATGATCAGAATTCATTGAACAAGAGATTCTTCCTCTGTAAGACTAAGTTTCTGATTCTTTGAAGGTGTGTCAACACATATCATACAACTATATATATGATGAGTTAAAATTGCATAAGAGACTTTATATAGCTTTGCTGCAGCTTGTACACTTGAAATTTGATCATTTTTAAGTGCTTGAATGGCTAAAAGAAGCCTTCCTTCCTGAGAAGAGGCTTTATTTTTTTGTGTGGTTGACATTTTTGATGCAGAGCATTTCTCATTGTATGAAGAGTGAGAAGTGGTTCGCTCACTTATATGGTTCACTCACTTATTGATTACATTATACTAATTAGTTAACGTAATCCACCCCCGAGCGAGCAT